TATGTATGGATCATAATAATTTAAAATAAATGTATGTTGCACACATATCGTTTACGACCCGGTTACTCCTGTGTTATACGTATACAATAATAATAGTTTCATTTTATATTTTGTAAATAATAAAAAGGTTACAAAAGAGAACTGTATTTTTAAATCCATAAATTTCATTTTGAATATTAGAGGTTTTTTAACATTAATTTTTCCATTTTTTTTACTCGTTATTATTATAATATTATGAAACTATATTCCAGGCGTTTAAGCTATCGGAAAAATGACGCGAACAAAAAAAAATAACCATATTTTTTATATACTTGTGTTTTCAGGGTTTGGGATTTATATCAATTAAAATCAAAAAAAAAAAAAAAAAAAAGGCTCTAAAAACTTCATTAGGTTTCATTATGATCCAGAATTTATAATAATAAGCTTCTAAAAATCTCAATAAACGCTTATATTTGCTGGAATGAGTTCTTAAAAATATTTAAAAATATTCAAAACAAGAAAATTTTAAAAAATCTTTTTAAATCTACATTTACAGGTTTTTGTTGTCCAGTGACGACAGGCGTGATAAGTATATTATAGGATAACCAAAACATATAAATACGTGTCGGATAATAGAATACAAACACGAAATTTGTTAAACATTATAGGAGGGAAACTTTGAGTTTATGTAAGTGGCATATGTAATTATGAAGCAAAAAATATTCAATTAAAGGAAAACCAAGGGAAATTATTTCAAATTCGTTATTTAAATTAGTAACATGATATACATTTTTATATTATTCTACTAGACATAATTTGAAATGAAAAAAAAAATAGCCATAACTTTAAGCCCTGAACCCCGGTTCTAAGTATATTACACATCTTGTTACTGTTGACCTTTGATTTTTTTTTTTTTTACCGGAATTTCAGCGAAAAATCATAACTTACAATTTTATAAAATGTTTGATCGTTTTTCGTATACACTATATTAGATAATGTAAGCTATTATTGTTTGTATTAATGGGAAAAAACTCCAACCACAATCCCAATAGTTTCAAATAATGTAAATTACTGTATTTATAGTAGGTTTATAACTAAAATTGTATTTAGGTAATTTACGTTCTAATATATTTAAATTTATAAATTATTATTGTTATTATTATTGATTTTACAATACAATAAATATACGTATGTCATTTCTTCACAAAAGAGAACTTTTGAATTTTGATACAGAATAATACTTAAATTCGAACTGCGTGAATAAAGTAAAATTATTAAAATAATTTTCGATTGAAAATTCGAATGACCATAGATAATATTGAACAACGTTTAACTTATTTAAATAAATGATATAATTTATACTATGGGTAGGCACTGTCTTTTTTTTTATAAATGGACATTTGAAAAATGATAACATATATAATAATAGTAATATCACACCTATTTAGGTTTATTTACCTAATTGGATTATACCAAAGGAAAATTTGTGTATTAATAATATTTTTGTATTTTTGTTTCAGGTAAGTAAATATACGAGCTATATAATTTAATAAGACTGAATATTATGTAGGTAAGTACCAATCGAGTTATTAATAATAACTGTTAACGTTTTGATATAATGTATAATGAAAAACGAAATGTCAATTTACAGAAATTAGTGTAGAATAATAATTTTTAGAATAATTATAATATAAACCTTTTTTTATTAGGTTTTATGTCCGTATAATCAAAATCAATTTGGTTTTTACTTTTAACTGGTAAATATAATAATTTACGTTTGGCCGAAAGCCATATAAACTGAGCATTATAATTTCATTTTGAAATAAACGATTATCACCTCCCAAAAAACGAAAATTAACAGTGTGATATTATTAGTTTTATTAAAATGTAATATATAAGTCAATAAATTAATTTTTAATATTACTAATTCCTATGATTCAGATTGTTTCAACAATCTTCTATACATTAATTAGTGTTCAAAGGCTTATTGTTTTTGGATTCTAAACATATCGAGTAATGTATTGGTTTTACTATGAAATGTGATATAATATATTTTTGTGTTTTAAACAAGTTTTTCACCCGAAGTTTTGCAACAATTACAAATTACAAAATAATTTCTTTTATAGTATTTTTAATTTTATTGATGTATTTTTTAATTTCCCAAATAGTTTTCATAATAATTGGAAAAACCTGGAACATGAATATTTATGGCATTAACGGTTTCATTCGATTTTGTTTTGGCTAAAAATAATCGTAGATACTTAAACCTTCTACAAAATATTTATATAAGGCTTTTTTAGATGTTGTATAATTTAAATATGTATATTCTTGCGAATTTTATATAATTTATTGGCATTTGACATCTTCGAGGTTTTTATTTTATTTTATATGGATAAAATAATTATGCCTATCAGAAATGTTTGGAAATTTTACACGACGTTCATTTAAGTTATACTTAGTGGTCACAAAATAAGTTAAAAATAATGTATTATTGGTTTTTTTTAAATTTTAAAAGTTCAAACTTTGACGAAAATTTCAAAACTTACAGCATTTAAAATATGTTCATATTTCAATAATAAACAAAAAAAATACATGTTTAGTCGAACATGAATTCGCTTAGAATCGTATTTCATCAGAAATGATATATGGTTGTGTACATATTTAAGTTAAACGATTTCGATGGTTCCCACCTTCCAAATTTCTATTCTGCAAGAGTGGTACACCTATAAACATTTTCTGCATTATTATAGGCATTTCCGAATAAATTACATGTACAATTTAAATTAGTATAATAAGAATACAAAAATCTGTATAAACATATTACGAGGAAATGTTTATTTTTGATGTATGGAGATTTATATATGTATATCTCCATTTGCTAGTTGTATTTTACAATTTGGGCAAGTCAACTTAGTTGATTATGGTGATGTGATAATAATAAATAAGGGTTAGGTTACGTGAGTGACGACAGTCACAAAGTAAGGCTACGTTAAGTATATTAAGTGTATAGGCATGAGAAGGATAGACAATTTTTAATTTATAGAAAGCAAAGCTTAGAAATCTTCTTTTAACCCACCCGAGTTGACGGCTGTCCATATAGCAGTCTGACTAGGGCAAAATAGAGAGACTTGATTAAGCTTGTCAGTTTAAATTCACTTTCTATTCTCTTACGAAATCAAGAGTTTTGTAAGTTTTGCACGTGATCTGATCGATATGAATACTAGGAGAAAGAGTAGGGGCAAAGACAAAACCCAAGTCCCAAAAAGTCTCTTTTTAAACTCCGAAAGATATTAGGTACTGAATTTTTTTTTTTTTTATTATACAAGCATTGACTAATATAATGTTTATGGTAATCATGCAAAATATACTGTTATCAGTCCAGTACAGTTAAAATAAAAAATATTTTTGTTTTGTATTCAATCGTCTTCAATTGTTAAAATTGATGAACAAATATTACATTTTTTGCTTATTAAAAATGAATTATTTAAATCCGGTCATTTTTTTATGAGGGTTTTGACTATATTTAATAATAATAATAACGATTATTCGTTTGTTTTTATACAAACTAATATATTCAATACTAAAACATATAGGGCTTATTCTTAAGGATTCTTTTTTTTATTTATCGTAATAAACTGGATTATTATTATTTTATAAAGTAAACTCTGGATATCTTTGTAATAATATTGTGTCCTCTTTGAAAATATTTTAATTTTATGTTTTAGAAGTGTTTTAAATATTGTAGTGTATCAAGAGTTTACGTTGTTTAATAATGTTAATATTTCTGTTTTGAAAACAAAATATCGTAAATTTATGTAAAATAAATCAAAGTAATTTCAAAAACGAAAATGATTACAGTTTTAATAATTCAGCGATAATGATAACATAATAACGAGTAGGTACTGTGGTATTTTTTTTTTTTTAGTTTCAACACAAAATATTACAGTAATTTAACCAACGGCTATATTATATAATCTGTTCGTTAATAAATAAGTCCGCGTGTCTTCTCTCGGGAATTTGTTTATTTATCTTCGTAGGTATTATATTTTTTCATCTGGAATATACTTAAATGTATTTTGGAATTTTATTCTTTGGGCCACCGTTGCAACGCCATCCACGGATCATCGTTGTTATAGAATATTGAATGAATTTCATATTTTCTCAATTTTGTGATGTAGGCATCGAGAAACATTTTGAAATATCTAGATAATGATAAGAGATAATTCCTAGAAAAACCAAAAAAAAAAATCAGAAATTAATCGGCATTTTTAAATTCAGATAAAATAATGAAGTGTTAAGAGAAGTCACAGTGTACCACATTTGAAATACATTTAAGAATATCAATATAAGTTGTGTGGTTGATGTACCTAACTTTCTTCTTGATGTTTATCGTTTATTTCGGATACCTTATTTCTCGTTTATATCTTCCGACAAATGAAATAAAAGACAAAAATATACCGACATAGTAAATGTATTTAAATAAAAAAAAAAAAATACTGTTTGTACTTACTATAGTTATAAATTATAATACCGGATTCATAGCTGTATAGTTTTCCAGAAAATAAACGGCCAGATAGTATTATTACAAAAAAACAGAAAAGAAAATCGATTGGTTATACAAAAGCACGTCGTTACTCGCCGTGATCGGCGGCTGGAGCTCGCCGCCGTGTACAAAGGCGGTTATAATAACAAAGGTCCGAGCACCATATGTATAATATGTACGCTTAAGAGAGAACTTAATGAGAACGTCGTACGAAGCTCGTATGCACGTGGAGTGATGTGAAAATTCGATCTGCCCGTATACAACCGGATCGTCGCCAACAGCGCTCGCCGCCGGCAGATCCCGGACGCGGTTTCGTCGTACATTTTTCCACGCTTATTTGGAATACCGAATCATGATAAATATGATATTGTTTAATCGGCAAAATATGTGATGTTGATATCACTTTATAGAATACTAGAAATCTATTTTCTGCGATAATAATTCTGGCCTTTTTTTTTTTTTTTCTTTTCGGGCTTCTAACGTAGCAGAACACGCTTTCATAGTTTATTAGAAATATATTACATTATCACGTAGGCGTATAAGCGACTCGTAATATAAGTAGTATTACACAAGGTTTTGCAAATTATCACGAGACGTAGTTTATGTAAATTTCGTTTATGTTCTTTAATATGACTCATTAACAAAGCAGGTGATCTTCAAACATGTAACAGGCGCAGATGGTGCCGCAACAGTGTAAAACTTGTGAAAATAAAACTTTCTTAGCGTAAATTGCGTTTACGCACGCCGTGTTAAAAGATAGTATAATACAATTTCAAGTATACCGTTTATTATTGGGGTGGGAAGAGGAGAGAATAACCTACATGAATAATTGTTTGTAACTCTATAATATGTTCTTCTTTATTTCTGAGAAAACTGTTGCGGACTAAAGATAACAATATTTAGGTAACAGATATCTCATTTGATAGCATAATAATATTATAATATTGGTTATGCAATAGTTTTCACAGTATGTACACATTTTCCAATTTTATCTCCAAGAACGATGTATATATACGTATACAGAGTGATATTTTTACCATAAACCAGCAGTGGCGTGCCCAGGAATGTTCAATGGAGGGTGACGTAAAAAATAAAAATCGTGAATAAATCGTAAAATCGTTGACTATAGGAATTAGTAAATTAAAAGCCGGATCCTTAAAAAAGCCAATTTCTAATAAATACATCAAGCTTTTCCTCGTAACTTGGCTGAAATATATGTGTTACGATATTAGATTAATCATATTTTGTTTGTATTTTTAAGCCAATTGGGGGGATAACCCCTCGCCTCCCACTGCACACACCGTTGTAAACCAGCGTACATTTTCTCAGAGGATTTTAAGTAAATTTATTTCTGTTTTTTTATATTGCTGTGAAATCGTTTAAGCTTTATTTTAAAACCATTACAAATTTTGTACGCCTATTTCATGTTCCTAAAATAAGTATAATATTTTTTTGTTTTTCATATAGGAACCTCTCTTTTTGAACACAGGTTCCAATAGAGAATATTTTTCTAGGCATTTTGATGTACACAACACTATATAAGATTTACTATTTATGAGTTATAATCTTTTAAATTTTAGACCGAAGGCAGGGAAAAGTTATCAGTTTGTCATTTAAAAGTAAATATACAATTTATTACCTTTCCTTAATCTTCCGGTTTAGACTTTAAACGGTAAATTTGATATAAGCATTATGCATTTCCACACTGTCTAGAAAAATATTTTTTATTCAAATTTGTGTTCATTAAGGGAATCCCTATTTTAAAACCAAAAACACATACTTATTTTAGGAATATGAAGGAGTGAAAATTAAAAAAAAATGGTTCAAAAATAAAAGTTAAACAATTCCTTAATTTTTTAAAAAAAATAAATCAAATTCAATTAAAATCCTCCGAAGAAATTCCTGATTCATGATAACAAAAACCACTTTTTACACGTATTATTTTCTTTGTTTTATTGGTATTGTTGAGTTTTATCTAGATATAACTATATTTTTTTTTTTTATATCTTATTGAGATAAATGAGAATTAAGTTATCTGGGATAATATTACAATAATTAATTACATAGATAATTTATGTGTCTATTGATACGTTTTCATAATTTATTTTATAAATGCAAACTATTTTAAAGTCAATTCGTACAAAACGGGGCAAAATGGCCCCGAAGATCCCCTCCTCCCTTTTAACAGCATTAGTTCAGTCGTGTATCTGATTATCTAGTACACTTTTAGCATTTACTTTTATGATAATAAAGAAAAAAAAATTTTTTTTTAACTATAGATAAAAATTCGCTCGTAATTTATATGCATCTATAATAGATAATTTAATAGTTATGACGTATCTAGATTATATTCTAACAACTGTTAAATAACTAGACATTTTACAATTTGTCTTTAAACGAGCTGGTTTATTGGTACTTTCATTTATTATAATGTAATATTAATATATGAACACTACATTAAACAGTAAGTAATGTAAGTAGGTACTAAAGCATTTCAAGCGATCCGTTTGCCAACGATTTTTTCCATTCATTTGTAACAGACATGACTTAATTTTTTTTTTATGTCCCCGTTCTTGTAAATGATTATTGCTTTTTTTAAAAAGACGTAGTTGAATAAAACGTAACGAGTGACATCATAAATTAATAAATACGCAGGATTATCATTGCGCAACTATTTTATAAGTTCAAAAAATCTTGTGTGTATATATATATATATACATATATTCTTAGCGTATACGTATAAAATGCATATTCCAAGAAAAATGGAAAAATAAAATCTCATTATTACTATGTATTTTTTCATTGTATAATACATAATGTCCATTGAATTTATTAATATTATTATTACCGCAATTTGTTTTTCTTTTCGCAAAATGCTGTATTTATTATCGTCCCACAATAATAATAATAATAATATTGTTCTATACAATTTTGAATTATGGTATGCGAAGACAATACAAATTGAAATTAATTATTAAAGCGATATTTATATTGGGGCTATGATAAAAATATCGGTAATATAAAATAAAAATATACCTACTATATTAGTTGATACCTGCATTTATTAAATAAATATTATCCTTTAGACATAAAATTTTGTAATAGGTACCTAATGAAATCGTAATAATATCATATTATTAATTTAAAATAATGATTATTAAAACTTGATTACGTAACTGTTATTAAAAAGAAAATTTAATATATAATATATTTTATTCTCTATATTTTGTCGGTATGAATATACAGAGTATTTTTCTGAAAATGTTGATTTATCAACTTTTTTATTTTTATTTTATTCGTGATTTTTAATTATTTTTTAAAGTTCAGAGAAAAGAAGTGAACAGTCGATTAATCGTAATAATGATAATAAATTAGAGAAAGCAATTATAGCCGGCATAATTATTGGTAGGTACTTAAAAATATGTGTAGTCCTTATTTCAATGAATAATATAAAAAAAAACCAGAATTTGATTATTTTATTATCTCCGGAGATATTACAATGGACGAATATATTCATGGGACACCCTGTATATAAATATATATACATAACATTTTTTAAATTTAACATTTGTATTTTATAAATTAAATTAAATTGTGATAAACTGAAAAAACTGGCTCTTCGTCATCATACATAATAGTAATAGTAAGTATATATAGTAAATATAGGTCACTCTTGTAGGTTGGAGTTTGTTAACTTAGGATGTATATTGGGTATCTAATTTAGTGTACCTATATTAGGGTGGTCCGACCCGTGGGTCGTGGCCCCTTAAAAACAATTCTAAAGAATGTTTGGTTAAAACATTTGTTGATATATTTCTTATTTAACATTATACAATTGTTTAGCTAGATACAAAACAATTAACAGTTGTTCTGTTTTTAAACAAATGTCAGCATACATTTGAGATTAAAATACAAATAGAAATAAATTAAAAACTTTTTACCCACATAAAAACAAAAAAAAAACAAAAACCAAGAAAATGTTTAATAGCTGTAAATAGCTCATCAAATTTTACAACATGCAGAAATTTCAAATAGAAAGAATAAAGTATTCGATGGGAATTTTAAGTCTCTACAAATATTTTTCATTGAACTACATCAATTAAATAAAACCGAGAAAACCGACCTTCTCACATCATAGTAATTTCATTTTTTCGCGATGCAACGTAACAATTCTTATTTATATCAAAGATTTCAATGGTTCAAAGGCTAATAAATATTTGATTAAAATATACGTCTGTTCTTATAATTCTTATTATTCTGCAATATTATGCAGGTTAACTTCTGAGGTTCGATGTTTTTCCTATTGGATCATTGACTGATTCTATTGAATTGGTAGGCGAGTCAATATAATCGACGTGTATTCTTCGTATGTTAATGAATCCTGTACAGTAAGTGGTTAGAAAAAAAAAGAAACCCGACAGTTTTAAATAAAATATTGACCGTGCCATTTATTTGTTATATAATAATATTATCTCGATCGTGATACATCGATCTAAGAGTTATATTATTCAAAATTAGATGAAGGTGGAAGAAATGTATAACAATCTAATAATACATTTTCGTTGCCAAAAATATACTCAATTTCTCCAAAAAGTGTATTTTTTTTATCAGGAGACGTAAAAATCGATTGGTAATGATATTAATGTTGGATAATATACGTAATAATGTCTCAACTTTTATATTCTTCTTGGATTTTCATGGTATTTATAGTAAATCATGTGCTTTTTTTCACTGTAAAATTTGATGTATAGTCTAACACCTTATAGTCACTATAATTCATTTTTGAATTTTTTTTTTTTGTAGATACGAGGTATTGTTTTGGCAACGACACGATATTATAATATTGCGTATTATTCATCTTGTTTTTGTTTTATGTAATCAATTCGCGTGTACTACAATGATGTCTGCGTGATATTAATTGTTCGCGATAGGTTCGTATTCATTATTTATAATAGATTTTCTTAAAACATAACATATAATATTATAATAATATAAAGGTTTTAAAAGCTGAATAGATACATAAATATATTATACACGCGATAGTTCTACGGATATTTTTGTTGATTTAAGTTGATATACAGCAACTTTAACCTATGTTGTACAGTATTCGTTTTATTAGAACTACTACTATAATACTACAGCGTGTTTGTTTTGCCTCTTAAACAACGCGTGTAATATTGATATCGCCGACGCTGAACAATGTCGGATGTCGGATGATATACCAACGTATATATTATGTATACATATATATGGTTAATCCCTTAACCGAATTTAACACTTTAGCTGAACAACGATCGTTCGTAATAATAAAATGTAACAGCGTATGCAAATATTATACCATTATACCCGGCCGTCGCCGTTATTATCAATGCGATTAAAATTACAAATAATGAAACAACAATATTATTGTATAGCTGGTACCTATTACTTGTTTTTGCGCCCGTATACCAAAACTGCCGGTGTTCCATAAACGTTTTATTTGTCCGCCTCGCAATAAATATGTGTAAGTTTGCCATAAGTATATAAGTATAAATCGATGAAAATATCGAGACTTTCCTCGGCACTTGCTATTGTATACACATTTACTCGTAATGCATTATAATGGTTAACACATATAGTAACATCGGTGTACCTAGTTTATTATGTATGTCGATAAATAAAGTTAAAAGCAATTATAATATTTTCTTTAGGTTTCAAGCGAAACGAGTAATGTGTATTGGTTTTACTATGATGTCTGTTTTACGTAGACATTATATTATTTTTTCTCGACGATCAACATTGTTCACAACTTATCTTAAAAGGTGTAGAGTTTTTCCCCGCGATACTTTGTTTGAAAACAATGTCTAGTTTACAAAACGTTTTTCTTTCAAATCTAAAAAAGTGTAATAATAAATGTCGATACATTTGTTTATTTTCGTTGATTTTATCGTCACCTTGGCTAAAATAGGAAAAGTAAGACTAATTCTACGGATAATACTCTGTTCAGAATTTTTTTTTGGTTGCAATTATTAATCGTGGCTTTCGGTATAAAAAATTAAATTACCGTGTACCTTTCATGTTTTCCACCTCCCACAGTCTAACCATGGTGCGAAGTACAACCGACTTTTTAATGATTACTTTAATGTACTAAATATTCGTATATTATATTATATTCTGTATAGGTATTATTAGGCGAATAGACAAAGTTTCGTATGTGTGTAGAATTTTGATGTAGTTTAATCTATATGCCGTCTTTTTTTTCGAAAACTTTAAAAGCTTAAGCTTTTCAGTAATATTACAGCATCAAGAGAGTTTGTGTTTTTATTTTGTTATGTTTTCCTTCTTATATAGTTTGTGCCAATGCATTGGTTCGAGCGACTACTTATCGGTTAATCTAAACTTGATCTAAACCATGTTACTGTATTGGTACGAAGATAAGGAAATACGTTTTACGCAATAAGCTTCAAATCCTTTTCAGTTCTCTTTATATAATATGTACACTAAACCAGTCTATATACGTATCATACTTTTCTTAACAATTATATTTAAGGTTTCAAAATTAAAAGTGCCTAAACGTATTCTTCATTTTATTTAATTTTGTTTAGTTCATATAGTGCATATTTTTTTACTTATTATTTGATACTTTTTTTTTTAGAATTATCACATCAGTTATAGAAAAAAAAAATTTACTAATCGTAAAAAGAAAAAAAAAAATTTTAAATTTAATTTGTTTACTTATATATACACATCCGTATATTATGTAATAGCTTTCTATTTGTGTCATAGCAACTATATTATTTGCATTAAGTATAGATGACCCATTTTCCACATAACACACTTATGATATCATCGCAAAATATTGATTTCCTACAGAAATTATTTTTTTAAAAAAAATTTGAGGTGTACACACAACAATTTTAGACAATTTCGCATGATTCTTTTTTTTGTACGTCCTTATATGTTTGGTTTCCAGATGTGATACTATATCAACATATTTTTTATCGCTTTAAAAATAAAAAGGGGCACTCACACGATAGGAACATATTTTAGGGTTCCGTAGTAGACATTCTGACTATAACATTCTCTTCAACTTTTTATAAGAACGTATTAAGAGCTATTTCATGTTGACGAAAGATGTAATCTCTATAAAAGTGTACGTGCGCAAGTGTGCAGTATTTATATATAAAAAGTCCAGGTCAAAGACAAATCAATTTATAAAATGCCATTTACAAAAAAAAAAAAAAAAAAAAAATAATAATAATAATAAATAAGTAAATAATGAAGCATTTTTTTAAGTGGTTAATATTCAAAAATAAAATATATATTTGAAATAAATGTGTGTATTTAATAAATATTTAATAAACGAAAAATTAATGTGCAATACAAAACATTTTACTTGAATAGCTATTGTTGGTTGTATTTCATTTAATTTCAGTATACATTTTAAAAATCATTATCAGATATTTCAAAAAAAAAAAAATAAATACAAATAGGTACGAATTCTAATGAATTCAGAAATAATAAAGAAATGTTTATAACTATATACTTAAATACTTATATTATATTTAATATTAATGTATTATAATTTGAGTGTTTCCTAGAAACTTTACTTACGTAACTGTTTGCAGGCCTGCAAATGATTTGAACAGAAATTGTTCAAATGAAACGATTAAATTTGGATTGCATTATGCTTTGAGTACTCTCGTATAATATTATGGAATAATCTAACCCTATATTAGTTTGTACGATTAGAACAACATTATTGTTATGTACATTTTTTTATTTTAAACCTTTGACTATAAAATAGATTGGGTATTTTTCATAATAATTGTTATTCATAAGTATAGTATAAAATCTTAGTACATGTATTGGTTTTCATTTTTTGATACTCAAGTTCTACATTTTTAAGTTTAAATTTTGACGATAAAAATAAAATTCACAGTATTTCAAAACTTACTTAACTTAATTTCTCTCAGAATCACATTTTATTAGCAATGATTTACCATTGCGTACAGATATAAATTAAACCACTATGTTTATCCTTCTCTTACTTCCTTCTTACAACAATAACATACCTATCCATCAGCAGTATCAACTCTTTTTTATATTTTAATTGTATTAACCTTATTTTTTACGTCAAAGAGATTTACGAGCCATAAAAATATTAGATTTTTCAATAGGAATAATAATATAATAACAACACCACAATTGCTTATTGTATATCAAAAGAAGGGTATCAACGTGTAAATTCAAATGATTAAGCGATTTTTCATTGAAATTAGGTTTTACAAAAAGTGTATTCATCCTTTGCAAAAGGAACCGGAAATAATGATTTACGTTTTGAGGACTATCCTACATGGTATTATATAATATTGAAAAATATTATTTTTTCTATTCTAACGTATATCCATAGAATTTGACTAGGTTTGTATACTCAATAGGTATAATATTGTCGTGTAATAGGTAGTGTTTTTATTATTATTAAATTAAGGTACCTGTACGTATTTTGTTTTATTTAAATTGATTTATAATATTTTCCGCTGTATAGACCCGTTATATTATTATTGTATGGTTTTTCATTGTAAATTAAAATTAATTGTTGGTTTACGTTTCGCTCCGACCGATTTAAACCACTTTGTGTGTGTATATAAATATATAATATAATAACAATAAATACGAGTTAGCGATATTATTTTTACGTGACATTGTTTTCAGGGACTGTTGCGTCTAGCGGGTTTAGGCAGGAAGTAATTTGCATGCACCGAGTTTTCGGGCGGAGGCTCGTTTCCAGTTTCCGGATTTTTGGTCTTTCCCCTTTCCCAACACCCTGCAACTCCTCTGCTAAGGAAATCGCGGTCACAACTTTGGCAAAGCCTTGTAATGCGCAGCTTCATCTCCGGTCCACGTCTCATAAATAACAATAGCTCCCATAAAGGAAAACAATAATCGCATGTACACGCAGGGCAATTGTATAAAAAAGAAAGCGCCATGCAATTTTTCCCAAAAGTACCATACCTATATATTATTAGAAAAAGTGAATATTTAATGTGCAGAAATTAGCCCAATACAAAAATACAATTATTATTCCGATACTTGGGTAATTGAAAATACGTTTATATTTTATAATATTTATTACCGTGGTATTGTATTATGGAAGTTTTGTTGTTTTCTTTTGTTAACCAATTTCTACAGCAACAGACAACGGTTTTCTAACTGCTGGTTATTCCGATATCTGATATCCGTAAAAAACTTATCAATTCTGTCGAGTTGTGTCATGTTCCACATTATCGACTGTTTTGTATTTTATCATAATACATATATAAAATAAGTTAAAAATTAAAAATGGCAAAATGGTAAAAATAAATCGGCTAAAACTTAAAAACAGCTTAATAACTTTAATAGCAGTTCTATCTGCTTGTTTTCATGTTAAATCAAGAAGTCTTAATAATAATAAAAAAATATTGTACAAATAGGAAGCAGACATTTAGATTCTTGCTGATGAATTGATGCGTGCACTTCACCTCGTTTTGGTGAGTGTCGTTTTCACCATGACGCAAAGAGATATTCAGAATAGAACCCCAGACAACCGGGTTATCAAGAGGAAGGATAGATCGGTTTTCCAGGTCGATTGGTTATAGAACTAGTCTTCTTCACAGGAAGAGAGCTGGAAATACTATGGAGTATACAGGGGTATTAAGTTTAATTAAGTAATTAAGGGTTATGTAAAAGGGTGTAGTAAGGGTGGATTTACTGCACACCCTCACAACGTGTGTGTTTTCAAACTATATATCTTTATATTAACTACATTTCTGTATTTATATATTAAATTTGTATGGTTCAAACAAACGATGGCAGCAGAAGTGATGCCCACGAAGAATATTTCCAGGGATGTTCTTTTATGTTAGTTTCTCAAAAATTTAATTAATAATAATAAGGATAATTTTAGTATTTAAATAAAATAGTAAAGTAATCTTAAGATATTTTGGTATACATTTCGTACAGGTAAAGTAAATATATATACCAATTTTTTTGCTATTTTTAAAGCGTTGTGTCATTATGTGGAGTTGGAACGTTAATAATGTTTATAAAATATACTTTCCCCAAACTTTCCCCATTTGAGGAATATTCTCGGGAACTTTTCCCGGAAAAGTGTCCATCAATAGACAGTAGAGTTTTAATGTTAATACATGTTAATACATTGTTCTCCAGTATTGTCGGTTTCAAACGGGGAAAAAAAATATTGAACGATAGTTGCAAAATAAAAAACCAAGACACAATAAGCAATATACCATATAACTATATTAATACAATTATATTTAAATAATGATTGTTTTATGTTCATTGAGTTTAAACTTAATTTAATTATTTCATTAATTTGATTTTGCGTAATAAAAGAAACAATAAATAATACAAAAACAAAAAAAAAATAAAAAAAAATTACATTTTTGTTATTAAGTTAATGTGAAAAACAAAAGATAATAAAATAATTAATTTCAGTAAATAAATCAATTTACCAAATTTAAAATGAGATTGCATTTTATTAATTAATAAATAATATACTTGTTGACCAGTACCTATTGTAAATATAATATATTAAATTTATAATAGTGCAGTATGCATAAAAGTAAAAATAATCATTCATGTGATATTTTTGATCCCCAAATTGAATAATACATCAACAATACTTATTGTTATATAAAAAAAAAAATCAATTCTTAAGCAGTACAGTTTAGTCACTAGAGTAAAATTTCTTTCGCAATGATTTTTATTACAGAAATATGTATTGTAAAACAAACACTTGGAATACTATTTATAATTATACAATATATTTATATACCTATTATACTTAGTATACGTTGTATATTACACTACTCCCCAAACAAATGGTGCAATTTATGCACACAAACGATAAAGACTGAGATTGAAAGTTTAATCTTCCAAAAGACACGTTATTGATATTAACTCAATGTATATACAATATGTCTTCTCTCTAGCTTTGTTTGAACCTTTTCTTCCACAGTAAATATGTTGAAAGTTTAAAAAGGTTTTATCACAACTCGACTTGCTCAATTGGCTAATACTTTGCATTTTTTCATATAAACCTAAATAGTGTTGTGTGATTAAATCATATTAAAACGAGATGCCGTGCACAGAAAATTATCCTCGGGCAAAGTATAGAACTAACTGTATAAGTATAGTTAATACTACTTGGGCCGTCGTATAAATTATCGATTCACTATTTACACAAAACAAACTCGAACAAAATTAAACATCCATAACTTCTGTTAGATTTTATCCTACATTTTAAACTGAACAATATTAAATCAATTTTCAAGATAAATATTTAACTACCAATCTTATTAAAAATTATTATTAGCAGTTTAACATTTTAACTGTTACAAATTTTGTATTGTGTATCAAATTTTTACTCAAGTACTGTTTTAAAATGTCCACGGTTCATCATCGTTCTCATTCACCAGTTTTAAGGTTAAGTTTCAGAGTCAGGTTTCATCCTTTTTTAAGTGTTTTTCTTTCAAAGGTCATCAGTTTTGTTACCTCGGTTTGTTTTATTTATATATTCTGAGTTTCATCTTTCGTTATACATAGCATTGTTTTTTATGTATAAATTATATTAATGCTTAAATATTTTGTATAAAGTTCTCGAAATGTTTGAAATAAAACTGACCATATAATAATATAAAAATCGCAGAATGTCTACTCTATTATATCAGACCTTAAATGAACAAGTTTATCTATTCAAAGTTAAAAATATTCTAAAAAAACATGAAAAAATTCATATTTTATTCAAATCTACTTTTTTTGAAGTATGTATTCATATTTCAATGAACTTGAACTTTAATTTGGTAGTTAATTTTAATTCAGACTTTAATTTTTTACATTTATACAAATTATAAAAACTAATAATTTTGCATTTTGTTAAAATTATTAGTTGTATAAATAAAAAAAACCACAATGAAAATGCTAATTAGCTAACATAATTTTGCTGTATTTCTCGTTAGACTAACAGAGAGGCAATTTATACTTCTTAATTCTCTTGAGATTATTTAAAAAGTATATTATGTATAACTAATATAATATACAACATTTAAGAAAATCAAAGGAACTAGGTAAAGTTAGGTAAAATAAAAATAAAATTAACTTTTGATTAACTAAATTAAATGAGTTCTTTGAATGAGGTTATCATCTTAATTCAATTGTATATGCTTGTAATCTCTAGTCACTAATTCATGAATAAATGTTCATATTTTGTTCATATTTTCAATCAATTTGTCGAAGTTTGTCCATTATCATATTTAGATACTATATTAGGTTTCATTATAATTATAATTGAATTGATTTTATTTTAATTAAAAACAAAAAAAAAAAACAAAAATGTGAAGAGTTCAATTTTTTGGCGACACATGGTTTTCTAAGCAAAAACATATACACGCAATATATATATATATATATATATATATATATAGATTACGTTTGCAATATTATCTACTCTGGTACCCAAAACGATCATAGATAATACACGGTCGACTGGTTAAGATAAATGCGATTAGGTCCGTTTATAGGTTCATGTTGGTCGCGGTTGACGAGTAAATACGTTATATCTACGGAGTAAACTTTTCTATTCACGTATATAAAATGTTTTACAACCTGCAAACCGTCCGGTCGAAATTCTATTGGTACTGATCGCACGTTTTCTTTATTAAATTAAAATTTTTGACCATCTACCACGCGAATAATCAATCGTGATTGCGATCGTGACATGTTGACATCAAAAAGGAAAATCCAGCCAAGTGCGTGTCGTACGTAAGTACACGCATCAATTTGTTAGGGCTCTGTAATAAATAATATAAATATTTTGTTCAATATTAACCGACTAAGATATGCATTTAAGAAATTCGCTAGACTAAATGTTAAAATTATGTTAACATATGCATATTTCCGATTTAAGAACGATGGTGAAGTCATAATTAAGCGGACTGACTATGTTTCGAAATTATAGTTTTTTGAAGTTTTGATATTATGTGGATATTATATGTTATGTTAAATAACTAAATATTGTTTTCACTATAAAATGATTGCCATACCCAAATAGTTATGTATGCTTATTATAATATTAGGGGTCCCGAGTTCGAACCCGGATCTTAAACAAATTGTTTGCATTTTTTTCCCTTTTATCTAAACAAGTGAATGGTTGTACCTAGAGACAAACCCATCGCTCGCTCGGATTATTTTAATCGCAAAAATATTCCTGCATTTGTTGTGTCAACTTTTCTACCATCTTATTCTGATATCTTATTCTAAGTGTAGTTTATTTTATGAAATTATTTAAATTTTATCTCCATGGTAAGTATTGGGGAGATTATTTTTTGATTATCCCAGGATTTTTTCCAATAAATATCAAACATAGTAAAAACAAAGAAACAACCGGAAAATGTACAAATTACATAAGTTAAATATTAGGATTTTTTTTTTATGTAGACGACTTTTCTACCAACAATTTTGCTCTGATTTACAAAGATAGTACCTTTTTCAAAAAAAAAATCTGACTGGGAAAATACTTTAAAGAGATCATTTTTCGTTTTCTTAGGAGTTTTTCCAGCAAATGTGAAAAACTAGGAAAAACATAGGAAAACCGGTAAAAACGTAGGAAAAACGGGAATATCGGTACAATATTAAACAAATATTATTAAAAAAAATATGTAATGCTAATTCAATTTTTAAATATTACATTTATATTGTTGAAAAGTCATCCTCGTCAACTGAACTGCGTTCAGAATTGTTTTTTTGTTAGCAATGGTTTATCTTTGCTTAGAGGTATACATTAAATTACCTATAACAGTACCTGCACCTGACCCCATTATCCTATGACCTTTTTTTTTAAGCCTTTTAGATTCCAAGCATAGCGATGGAGCCATTGGTTTTACAATGCTCTTTATTATTATTTTTTCTTTGTTCTAGACTGTGGATACATTTTTTCCTAGTAAACTTGGTATAATTTTTACTTGTAGCAACTTTTCTGAAATCTCAAGTTATCTAGATGGTACTTAAGGTGATTTTTGACGCCATTTTTTGTCCAAAAATGTAGGAAAACGTACAATTTCACGATTTCATTATTTTATAAAAACACGGACGACGTTTTCTACCAGAAAAAATGATTTAATCGAAAACTCACAAAATAATTTTTTTGATGACTTTTTATTTACTTCTTAAGGTATCATCGCCAAAACTTTTGAACTTTTAAGGAATTTTAATTTTTGGGAATTTGTTCGCTTTAATTTGGTTATAAGTACACGTTGAGACTTTAAACTTGGCTTTATAGTAGACTTATCTAGACGTGGTAAAATTTCCTAAATGATCGAACGACTTTTTTTTTTTAATAAGAGTTTTAAATTCAAATTCAAACGAAAATCTCAAAAAAAAAAATTACAGCACTTCAAATTATGTATTACCGAGCTGCGTTCAGAATCGTCTTTCGTCAAATTATTGTTTATCATTGCTTATAGATAATTATGAAATAACCTTATGTATCT